TTATGCTATAATGTTGTGAAGCTAACCTGATGTTAAGTTACTTATATTGCTTCAATGCTTTTAAGTTGATCAACATATTTAAGTTGTTAAGTTTTGAGTATTACTAAAGTTATTTCTATGCTTTTAATTTGAAAAGCTAACTTGTTGCTTTAGTTGTATATGTTGTTATAAGTTTCTTATTTCTTATATCTATGATATGTCATTTTTTTTCATAAGCTTACCTTTATTTTTTTATATTGTTATACCACAATGATCATACTTAATATAAGAGCATGACAAGATTAGGTTGGAGGGCACACTTGGTGGATGACCATGTTGGAGATGGCTTTGTTTTGTTGTGCGGTTATGATATAGTAGTTGTTTTTGAGACACTTGACCAACACCATGGCTTCTATGTTTTTAGTATGGTTTACTAGATGTATACTTGTATATACATACATGGTTTAATTATAACCCCATAAGGGGCTTTATGTTTTAAAGTCAAAATTGATAAGGACTGTTTTATGTTTTTTGCATCTTATACATATATATGTTGTATAAATGTCTAGGTGTTGTTGCATGATAACCCTTGTTTAGTAGATTCTTTGTGTATTCCACCGCGTAGTTGTTGTATTGTACTAAGTGTAATACACCCCCAACTTTGTACCTTACTCTATTTGATCACTTCATACACGTATGAATCAACCTTGCCCCATATAGATCTACATTTGGTTGTTTAATGTTCAATATCGCTCAACCTGCCCCATATGAATCAACCCTGGTTTAGTAGATTCTTTGTGTATTCTATTGCGTAGTTGTTGTATTGTACTAAGTGTAATACACCCCCAACTTTGTACCTTACTCTATTTGATCACTTCATACACGTATGAATCAACCTTGCCCCATATAGATCTACATTTGGTCGTTTAATGTTCAATATGGCTCGACCTACCCCATATTATATCAACTAAGGACCTAGAGGAGACTCAGTACTCCACTTCAAGAATGAATTTCTCAAGAAGACTTTTCAACAATTAGGCTTGTAGAGCACCTCAACACCATATCCACTCAATGGGATATTCATATTTTAAAGCATATATTCTCTAGTTCTAAGTCAATCAACACAACTCAACTTCATGGCTTAAGTATTATCAACACAACTACTATCCACACTACGCAACATGCAACTCCACTACAATTCAACTCTCAACAACTTACAACTTTAAGAACCTTAATTGTCAATATACATCATCCTATATCAATATTCAATGAACTAGAATCATACAAAAACATACAACATGTGAGTAATCCAACTTAAAACATACGTGTTCAACAATTTGTTAAAAGAAAACAACAAATTTTTCATTCAGCAATTCATGCCTAATGCCATTCTCCTAGCGCTCGACGTCATTGAGGTAGAAAGTATTTGGCTCACCTACACTCGGTGCTAATCTACTTGCGTCCAATGTGACCAAGTCAAAGAGCTCTTGTCTAACTCATGCCCGACACCTAGTACTAATCTCAATCATCGACACAATCATGAATTTAGTGAGAACCAAGCATTTTTCAACTCTATAATTCATCAATAATCTAAGTTTTAGCTCCCTTCACCTTAAGTCATTGAGAAAGATGAAGAAGGAAGAAAATGGAGTTTTTTTTACCAACTCAGGATGGTCACAACAACTATAATTCTTGACTATGAAGCTCTGAATCTCCAACCAACCACCAAAATCCACTCTCAAGGGAAGAATAATGGAAGAAAATATGCGAAGTCAAAAGTGAAGGTGGTTCTCTTCAACTCCAAATTCCTCTTTCTAACTTCTTTAATGAAATGAACTTATGAGATCCACTTAAAAAAATATCTTATATACTTTTTCCTAGGGGTGGGTATACAGACGGCCAGTCCGACCCATTTAAGGCCCGGTCCGTAAAACCCGCGTTTTATATGGGTCGGATAAGTCCCGTCCGTAAAATAAATTGACTTATTTTTTAAGTTCGTATCCGGCCCGCCAAAATTCGCGGATAACAGACCGGTTCGCGGGCCTAAATAATGGTTCAAAAAAATAAATTTTTAAAAAATAAAAATACATAAAATTAGAAAAAAATAATATTTTTTATTTATAAGCTAAATTTTATCATACTAAAAATTATCAATAGTTAAAATGGTTTAAAATACTAAATATTAAAATATTAAAATAAAAATAATTACAAATACTTAAATAATAGTACCAAACTTTCAATAATAAAAGCATCAAAATGTCATAAAAGCAATTTAAATGACAAATACATACCAACTAAACATAATTTTAATGTCATAATAATTTAAAAAATTAAATACACAACTTACTATTAAAATCGTAATATTTAAAAATATTAATTAGTGAAGTCCGCGGACTAGCCCACGAGTCTGCGGATTAAATTCGTCAAGTCCGCGGACTTCATGAGCCGGGCTCAAAAATTAAACATAGTCATACGAATTTGAAAAAAATGGGTTCGTTATCTGCGAAATTCGCGGACTTAGGACCGGTCAGCAGACCCGGGTCCATCTACCCAATCCTACTTTTCCCTAATTGGTCAACTTGATCTCAGATCACAATAACTCTTAATACAACAAAACTCATTAGGATTCCCAAATCCTTAGAGTTTTACAACTAATAAACAACTAATCACAATAACAATTAAATCAATAAGATCAACAATTATTAATATAATTGCACAATGTTATATTTACAAATTTTAAAAAATTAAAAAATATATGATACTTTGTTATATATAAATTCAAATCAATGTATAAGATATTTTTATGATTATTTGTCAATTTAAATTATTAAAATAAAGTATCAAATAGTTTCCAAAATTTTTAAAATTTTGTAGATTTGATCTATACTTAAAAATTTTGAATTTAGTGGTTAGATAATTGAAATTTAATGTAGAATATGAAGTATTTAGTGAAATAAGTTTATCAAGACTTACTCTTGAAGTAAGTGGATTTCTTCTTTCTTTCTTTCTCTCTCTATATTTATTAAAAGAGTGTTGTCATACTCGGCCACCTAATCGAATTAGAAAATATATACATTAAAAAAATAGAGATCTAGCTTTTGATTGGTATAAAATTCAAGTCTCTTGAATCATTAAATGATATTTAAACCATACACCAACATATATTTAACCCTTGAAGTAAGTAGATTTCTTCTTTCTTTTTCTCTCTCTCTATATATATTAAAAGAGTGTTGTCATACTCGGCCACCTAATCGAATTAGAAAATATATACATTAAAAAAATAGAGATCTAGCTTTTGATTGGTATAAAATTCAAGTCTCTTGAATCATTAAATGATATTTAAACCATACACCAACATATATTTAACCCTTGAAGTAAGTAGATTTCTTCTTTCTTTTTCTCTCTCTCTATATATATTAAAAGAGTGTTGTCATACTCGGCCACCTAATCGAATTAGAAAATATATACATTAAAAAAATAGAGATCTAGCTTTTGATTGGTATAAAATTCAAGTCTCTTGAATCATTAAATGATATTTAAACCATACACCAACATATATTTAACCCTTGAAGTAAGTGTATTTCTTCTTTCTTTCTTTCTTTCTCTATATATATTAAAAGAGTGTTGTCATACTCGGCCACCTAATCGAATTAGAAAATATATACATTAAAAAAATAGAGATCTAGCTTTTGATTGGTATAAAATTCAAGTCTCTTGAATCATTAAATGATATTTAAACCATACACCAACATATATTTGTGGACATATGAGACATAATTTATTTTTGTACTGTGATATAAATAATAATAATAATAATAATAATAATAATAATAATAATAATAATAATAATAATAATCGGAGTGTTTATAATGTAATTTAGATCAATTATTGATTTTAAAATTATTTAAATTAAATAAAAAATTAAGTGCGATTCGATTGAGATCAATTTAAATATATTTGAAATCTAAACCAAATTAATATTTTGAGATTTAATTTTGTTTGATTTTTATAATTTTTAAAATTTATTATTTAAAAATTAACTAAAAATATATAATATTAAATATTAGTTAAAAAATAATCATTGTATCAAAATTCTTAGAATTATTTAGGTTTTATAGCAACTCTCTTTTATTTTACCTGATTTAGTTTTCTTGATCAGTTTGTATTGTATGCTTTTGCCATTTTATGCGAGTTTTGCAGGCACCATGATTCTTGATACAGATCATATTTCCTAATATTGAAATGAGCAATGAGGATGGAGACCACAAATGCCTAATCCAAGATACGCATGCTATTATATGGCGGCTATGACAACATAAAGGCGACAATATCAAGATCCTTTATTTTATTTAAATTTTATAAAAAAAAACATATAAAAATTATTGTGTTAGATAAATTTGTTAGCTTTAAACCTAAAAATTAGTAATTCAACTTGATTCGATTGGTTCATCCTTCAATAAAATTTGTATAATTTTCTTTTTATATATTTTTTATTTTTGAAGTATGAGTCATTAAATCATATCCTACAACATTGACTTATAAGGTGGGAGATTCCCCACTTATTTTTAAGTGGATAAATAATGAGTAATCCTTTTTAATAATCTAAGAAAGGAGGAATTTGAGTTTTTTCTTGATACACTCCCTCTTAGAATAATGAGTTTGGACCTAACTCATCCTCATAAAATCGATTTATAATACTACAAGATGAATAAACGGCAAAAAATAAGTGTCGGTTAATAACCGACGCAAATAGTGTCGGAAAAGCTAATATAACTTCAGCTTTTCTGACGCTAAACTTAAAATATTTAATTTAAATTTATTTTAAGTTTAGCTCGAAAAAATCCAACACTATTCTTTAAGAATCTATTGAGTTATACAATGTTTTACACCTTGAAATTTTATTCTTTTATAAAAATAGTTCAATTCCTTTTAATTTTTATAGCGGACATCAATTTCAAAAAGTCGATTAAAAAATATTTTCGTCTACCCGTATATTTGGTTATATATTTGCCAAGTAAAAAGAACTTTTATGATATATATTCTAGTGGATACGGAACATAAACTAATTCCAAACATACATTTTGTTTATTAGTTAAGATCAACAAGAATACAAGCCAAAATGAAAGAGAGCAAGAAAAACAAAAGTTTCTAATTCCATAGACAACATACAACTTGCTGTTTGATACACTAGTACGGATCACTGTCGCTGAGCACATGCGAGTCTGGGAGCACTTGTCTGATGTTTTTCACTAGATCATCCACCGTCATCTTGTACGCCTCACCCATCTGCAATAAACATATAAGACTGTGTGTGATTAAATTACACTCTAAAGAGTGTTGACGCAATTAATTAATTCTAGTAATAATTATGCATTTAGAACATAAAAGTTGCATACCTGAGCTGTGATGGTAATGCTTAGAGCAGAATTTCCAAATGGTAAGACACTGCTAGCGGTGACAGTGAGATGAAGATTTTCAAGGTGGTCCAATAATATAAACTGAATACCATTTTGTTTCTCACAGTGAATCTCAATGAGCACTTCCTTTCCCAACACTCTTGCTTCTATCTCGGGAATATTAGATGGATCCCGTTTCTTCAGCAAGCTCCTTGTTTTGTCTTGTTTTTCGAGTTCCTGAATTTGTTCTTTGAGTTCTTTCACATAATCTATTGCTGCTCGCAGTACCGAGGCCTTGTCTGTCTATACATGCCAGTTTTACAATTACATTCTTTCTCTCTCTAGCTAGCATATATATGCAACTTTATTTTCTAATCATGTGCCACGTGCCTTTCATCCAGCGGTGACTTATATAAACTCATATTTATAACATGACAGCCACTCTCTACTCATACTAAAAATTTTGCAGCCTTTTTCCCCTACTTCAATCCAACAGTTTTTTAAATTTTGCTACAGAGAGGAATTAATTAATGAGTGTATATTATAGAATATTGCATGTGATCGGTGACGCACCCGCAACGACTCCCAAATAATGATTTTGATAAATATCAAGTCAAAGTAAGATAATTTAATTTATATTTTAATAAAAGTAATGTTTTTCTATTCATTTATTGATAAATACCAGAAGAATTATTATTCAATTTAAAATAAGTCAGATTTCATCGTGTAGGAGTAACATGAATGATTATTAATAATATTATACCTACTATCATAATATATAGTTAAAGTAAGAAAATCTGAGGCATCTGAATTTTGAGAATATAAAATAGAAGAGAAGTGATTACCTTGTTCAAGCCGGGAATCGTGGCTGAAAGTGCTATGAACCTCTCTGTTAGTTCTTGTCTCCTTCTTCTCTCGGCCATTATGTGATCCACCGTCTGAGAAGAGCTTCTAACCTTCTTAGCTCCTTGATTGGGCCTTGCTACCGCTTCTGGGCCCAAGGCCCGTTTGGCAGGTAAAGTTGTAGAGTTATTCGAAGAGGGTTCGGGTGTGGCCGGTACCATGGTGGAGTCATCGAAGGACAGAATGAATGTCTGGGGAGAAGAAGCAAAACGACGAGGCGTTTTGGAATCATTTTCAGACACTTTGGAGTCATCGAAGGCTGGTTGCTGAAGGATGTCTCTCAGAAACTCCTCGTCGTCGTCGTTGTAATCCATTTCCTACAACAATTTATTATTTAATCACAAAATTAAGAAACAAGACACGGATCCTTAATTATAATATGAATGAAGGTTTAATTTTACTTACCATATGAAGATCCCAATTCTCCCATGAGTATGAGTATGAGAAAGACTCCTCCTCCATCGGAATGTGGATGTGTGTTGTGTGTTCTGACTTGTGCGTTGTTAATGTTATCTGGAATGATGATTCTAATTATAATATTCATGGGTTGTTGCACAATAGATAGAGACAAGTTTTACTCGTTTTTCATGCAACTTATATGTCAGCCGTTGGATCCATCACTCATTTTTATCAGAGGATCTGTGGGACCAGTGGTGATGGGTCACCTAGGGAGGAACCAAACAAGCCCAACTTCCAAACACGGCAACTTCCGATTGATGCGAAGACAGACTCGTGACTCATTATCCACATTTTAAATTTAGTTCTAAACACACTTGAAAAAATTATCTGACTCATAATTTATATTTGGTTTTATACTAGATAGGTACAAGAGAAAAGCCAAAGACTTCTTGGCATGACTGTACAAACATAAAATAAGTCTAAGAGTCTTTGACTCTTTATAATAATTCATAAAACCTAACATATTAACGCTAATAAATAAGGATGATTAGTCACATAAATTGTATGTTTTCATAATTACCAAGATTGATTAGTATTGATCTCTCTGATTCTGAGGACTGACTTGAGCATTTGAGTATCTTTTGCATATATCCTTCTCTTCCGTAGGACAAACATATGGAGGACGAAGACTCAGGAGATGCAACAAAATTACCGATGTACCCTCGGGTAGGTACAGGTTTAATAATTATTCTACTAATTTAATTAATTGTTTGGTTATAAGAATTACTACAAAAGAATAATCAATTATTAAGAGTTATAATTTGTATGTTTTATTGGTTCTTAATGAAGGAATTAATGAAGGGCTATTATGATAATAAGGTAGATGGTTTATAACTTTGTCTATAAAAAGGTATGTTCTTACCAGAATTTTTAGAATCTGAAACAACTCACATTCAAACTCTCTTCTCTCAATCCATTAATTAGAATTAGAATTTTATCTTTATCATATTTGCAAATGTATATCAATTAGATCTACAATAACTCCATTTGCATTTAAGAAATTTAACGGAAGTTTTGTTTTCATATTTTTTTAACCGTTTTTTATCTTCACAAATTTTAGATTATCATATCTTTATTTAATAAGAAAAATATTAATTTTTTTAATAACTATCAATCAACACTCTCAATAATCACTCAATCCATGATATTTATTTTATATTTTTTAAAAACAAATTGAGAGGTACAAAGTGTTTCTCTCTAACAAAGAATAATGAGAATCCCTTAATTTTAACATTCAATAAAAAAAATCAATTAAATTTAGAGGATAAAATTAGTTTATAAAATGAAAATTATCTCTTATTTATATATTCATTATTAGTATCTTAATTTGTGCAATACACAAATTAAATAATTTTTATATATAACTAAAATTTAAATAAATTATATATATAAATCAACCTTATATATAAAATAAAAACATCTATTTTATGTAAGAGTGTTTTTAAGAAACTAGTATTTTGGTCTATGTAATGCACATGTATGTTTATGTGTATATATATATATATATATAATTCAAATATATAATAAGTCATATATATATAAATAAATATTGTGTTTGAATATATAAATTATATTTTAAATTTATAATAAATAATTTTTTTGAATAAAAAATTAGTTTCATTTATTGATAATTTATTTTTAAAAAAAATATTATTTATATGATAAATAAAAATCAAATTAGATAAAGGTTAAAAAAAATTCTACAAATCCTCTTACAAACATCCACGTGAAAGATATAAATTTATGTTTAACATATAGGTGTTCATAAATTATCATGATAAATAAGAACTAAATTAGATAAGAAGTTAAAAAAAAATTCTACAAATTCTCTCATTGAAGATATCTCTAGAAACACTCTTAGTAAGATAGAAATTCATATTTAATATATAGGGGTTGACTTTCTTTTTTGACAAATTTAGAAATTTCTTTAACTTCATATCTAATTTAATTTTTATTTATCATAATTATTTATTAATTAAATTTTAATATTTTTAAAATAAATTATCAATAAACAAAAATAATTTTGTGCGATAACGATTTTTAAAGCTTTTCTTCAACGAAGAGTATTTAGAGATTCTTTAACTTCATACCTAATTTGATTTTATTTATTATAATTATTTATTAACTAATATTTTAATATGTATAATAGATAAACATGTTAATTATATATAGTTAAAATTTATAATAAATTTCTTTATGTAACAGATGCATGTCCTAGACGTTTATACCATAACCAAATATCCTCGCCTTTTATTACTTCTTGAGACCTTTTTGTCGTTAGCACTTGATCAAGCCTCTTTGAATTTTTTCCTGTTTAATCTAGGTAATACAATCTTCCTCGTTTAATACCACAACCAATCATCTTTCTTGTTTGAATGTCTTTAAAAACATAAGAGTCAGGTCCAAAAATTACAACACATAATAGAGATTTGGTAATTTAAGAGATTGACAATAGGTTATATTTTAGAGAAGGAACAACAAAGATACTATCAAGGTTCAAATTGTTTGAAACAGAGACAGTTCTCTCTCTAATGATAGTGGATTTACTGCTATTGGTTGTGGAAATACTTTTTTGTAAGGAAAGTTTAAGAATTTTAATATGTCTAGCATCAAAAGTCACATGATTAGAGCATACAAAGTCAATTATCCATGCATTATTCAAAATAGTGGATGCGTTTGGATTTTTTTTAATTCTTTTATGACACCTAATTGTGATCCCACCACTCAAGTTATCCAATGATTTCATAACATCATTCCTTGGTGTGCCCATCCTTATTACAATGAGTACACTTATACTTACCCTTTTCACAATCTTTTGATTGTCTAGCTTGCTACCTTGTCATCATAGCTGTGGAATATGAATTGATAGCTTTTATCTTCAATGATGTTCGCCAGACTATCTCTCATCGAATTAAGACATAATATTCTTCTAAATCAGGTGTTACTTTCTTGCGTAAGATTTCTCCACGAACTTGTTCAAAATCATCATCTAGTTCATCAAGGAATATATGTACCCTCAATCTCTTAATTGACTTTTGATATGATTTCACATCATTAGGGTCCTTTATTACTACTTTGTCACGATGATCCAATTCCCTAAAAATCTCAACTAGCTCCCCATAATATTATATTAGTGTTTTATTATTTATTTTTGCAGTGAATGCCCTTTGGTCGACCCTTGAAAGTTCTCTTGAGTTCTGGATTTGGCCACAAAGTTGGAAGAAACGCAACATCCGAGAGAAGTTTGACTTGTTGGGAGATTTACAGTAAGGCTAAATGAAATGTGGTATGATTGTGGCAAGTTCCAGAAAGTTCATATCCCTTGCTCGCATGACCCGCTGGGAGATTTACAGTAAGGCTAAATATAATGTGGTGTGATTGCAGGTAGTTCTAGAAAGTTCATATTCCTTGCTCGCATGGTCACACCCCTGATCATACTAGGAAGACATATCCAAATATTGGTCATAAATTCAATTTCAGCCACCATTGATCTTTATTGTTGTATTGAATTTTAATAAATTTATTTAGTTATATTTATAATATTAATATTCAATAAATTTAATTATTTGATGTTAGTTCCTGAGTTTTGGTATTTGATAAGTGAAAATCGAACAATTTTTTTTTATTTTTAAGCCAGAACGGCCCGTTTCGGATTCAGAACGGCCCATTCTGGTTTCACTTTTTATGTGCTAATTTTGAATCCAGAATGATCCGTTCTGATCCATTTGTCATGTGTTATTTTTTAATCTGGAACAGTTTGTTTTGGTTTCAGAACGACCCGTTCTGAACGTGAACAGTAAATAGTACTAGTTGGGAAAATAAATTTGCACGGTTGCTATTTGGGTAATTTTTTTTAAATAATATTATTTGAGTAAAAAAACTCCTATTTTCACAATTGATATGTTTTTAATGAAATATATTTATTAGAAAATGATATGGGAATGAATATATGTATATTCATGATATTGATAGGTTATTACTATTCTAATCCTTGTATAGTGCATGAACGTTTGTAATTTGCCTTAATTTACATCAATTGTTATAATTAAGTTAAATTTCAATTTATATTTATTAAAATTATTGTGACAGTTTCATGATTTGAATTGAGTTATAATCGTTAGATTTAATTCATGATGACATTGTTATTGGACACAAATTATTGTATAATTTTACAATACAAGTGTTATATGATATTTGCATCTAGATTGGTTAAAACCCTAAACCCTAAACCCTAAACTATGCTAAATTGTAATGAGTTTTAAACCTGATTATGTTGGTGGATTGACATTGTATATGTAACGGCCTGAATTTTTTATTAATATAATTATTATTTATTTTTATATTTATTGAGATTATTTTCTTATAATTATTTTAATTAATTAAATGGGTTTTATAGAATATTTTAGAGGTTTTTAATAATTTTGAGTATTTTAATTAAATAATAAATATTTATGAAAATTATTTTGTATAATATTTATTAGAGAGCTATGTATTCTTATGATATTTTATTATAATAAGTATTTGGAGAAAATTATGTGTTTTATTGTAATTATTTATATATTTTATTTTAATTATAATTATGTTAGAAGAAATAGATATATTTTATATATTATATATTTGTTAATTATTAAACATTTTATTTTATTATAATTATTTGGATTGGAAGAAATATGTTTATTAGATATATTATTTAATTATAAGTTTTAATATTTGAGGGAAAGAAAAAGATAATCATGGTTAAAGTATTTATACTAAAGGGTTAAAGGGGGTTAAGTTTTTAAAAGAGAGAGAGAACATATTAGATTTTATGTTTTCACTTTTCACGTACGTGCTTCAAAGCTCGGATAATATGCGTTCAATTTCAAGAATAAATAAGTTTTAATATGGATTCACTACTAGAAAAGTGTTATTTTTCTGTAAAAAAAATATTCGTAGAAATTTTTTGCGAATTTTCCTGCAAAAAAATATTCGCAGAAATTGTTTGCGAATTTATTTGCGAAAAATAATTTACAGATATTTCTTACAAATTTTGCTACAATTTTAATAATCATAGAATTTTTTTTCTATGGTAAAAATTTGCAGAAAATATTGTAATTAGAATTTTATTTTGTTTCTTGCAGATTTTCTTGCAAAAATAAATT